GCCGTCGCCCCCCCCCCCCCCAGCCCCCCCCAGGCCAGTTAGAAGGAGGGATGGATGCCCATGCAAGGAGAGGAGGGATGGAGGCAACCACGCTCCAGCAGAGCCCCCCGTGCCGAGCTGGGACAGAGGAGCAGGAGCTGCTGCAAAGCCAAAGATGGGCAGATGCAGCAGCTGGTGAGATAAGGGCCAGGCAGCCCCACTGCTGTCACTTCCCCAGTGGGCAAGGGGGTGGGCAACCAGGAGGACACCCAGCACCCACCCAGAGTGGGGGAGAGGACTGGGACAGGCGCCTCAGGGATGTGTCCCCCCCCCCCTCCTCCTGCCGGCCCCCGGCATATTGCAAATATCTCCCCTGAGCCAGCCATTGGCGGCTTATAAATAATGCAGCCCCTCGCCGTGCAATAAGGGCTTGTCAGTAGCTATTCTGCTCTCATAAATTAAAGATGAAAAGGTACAAGGCTCTTGCCAGAAAAATGAAGACAAATTTTTAATAGCTTGCCAAGACACAGGGAGATGGAGCGCTCGGGAAAAATGAATTACGTTTTTATTATGTGTTTTATTGTGGTGTAATTGAACGGGATTAGCTGAGAATACAATATATTTCCAGGGCAGTGCAAAGAAAACAAAAATAATGATGACACCTACCCTCCCCCCCCCCTCCAACACACACACCACCCTGCGGGGGACACCCTCCGTGCGTGCACCGGCTGGGAGCTGCTGATGGCCACCAAAGGCAGAGATGGGGATGAGAGGGGACACCAGAGGGGACAGAGGACAGGAGACACCGGGGCTCAGGGTGGCTGGGTCTGGCTGCACGGCTGGGCAAGCTCTGGGCTCACCCCAAAACCCCCCAGAGCTGTGGGGCTGGGGTGCAGGGCAGCACTTGGCCACGCAGAGCCACTGGGTGTCTTTCTCCTGTCCCCGTGTCCCCAGCTGCTTTCATCCCACCCCTTGTGAACACCTTTGGCCTGTCCCCTGCCCACACAAGCTGGCATTTGCTGTGCTGAGATCTGACAAACTCAGCTCAGGTGGGGAGAAGGGCTGGGCTGCTGCCCCGCAAACCAGCCATGCTCTCCCAGGGCTGGCAGCACTGCTGAGAGCCCCCTGCCACCATCCCCCTGCCACTGGGCTGGGGGGGGCCTGTCCCCATGGGTCCCCTAGTTGGGGGGAAAGATGACCCCCCCAGCTGGTGAGTTTTGGGGGCCCCAAAGGCAACACTGGATGCGGCAATGAGTCCAGGTGAGCAAAGGATGCTCAGTCCCTTCCCAAACTGGCTCATCCCAGAGGTCACGGGTGAGTCCCCGAAAGGTGGGGGGTGGGTGTCCCCAGGGGTGCTGGGGGTGCTGGGGGGGGGCACTGGGCCGGGGCCATCGATTGCTCCCTGGCATTTTTAATGAGCTGCCCGACCGCAAGCTTTAACCTTGCCCATAATGAGGGTGAGCGGCAGCAATTCCTACCACCACAGCCGGCTCCCCCAGCCTTAATGAGCTAATCAATACTTGTTCTCAGCTTAATTTCCAGCTAATTGCTCTTTAATGACGCCTGGAAATGGGCAGCCTCTTGCAGGGGGTGGTGGTGGGCAGGCTCCCCCCCCCTTCCTCAATGTCCCTCCCCGGTGGCAGGGGGTGCTGGGGCGATGGTGGTGGGTCACTGTTCCTGGCTGTGTCCCAGCCCCACTGGTGCTGGTGGAGATGGGGGGTAAAAGGAGGGTGTCAAGGGGGCACAGGGCACCGTGCCACCAAGCTGGCAGCACCCTCCGGAGCACCCACCGTGGTTGAGGGGGGTCACTATGCAGCCCGATGCACCCAGGAGGGTCCCCACATCCCAGGAGTGTCCCCAAGCCCCTCAGGACACTACATTGCTGTGGGGGTCCCCAGGGTGAGCTCATGGGGGTGGCTTGTTTTTGGGGTGCAGGGAGATGGAGGGGGGGATGCTGAGATGGCCATGCATTGGTCCAGGATCTAGAGACCCTCCAGGTGGAGGGACAGGAGTGTGACAGCGAGGGGAGGGGGACGAGGCCAGCAGCGCCCTGGAGGTGGCAGCAGAGACCCCGCAGCCCGCACCCCAACCCCAGAATCACAGAATCACAGAATCTTCTAGGTTGGAAGGGACCTTAAAGATCATCTTGTCCAACCGTCAACCTGACTGACAAAAATAGACACCCACACAACAAACAAGGAGCATCATCATCACTAACCCAGACCTCCCAGCACTACATCAACCTGTCTTTTGAACACCTCTAGGGATGGGGCCTCAACCACCTCCCTGGGCAGCCCATTCCAATGGCTGAGAACCCTTTCGGTGAAAAAATTTTTCCTAATATCCAGCCTGAACCTCCCCTGGCACAACTTGAGGCCATTTCCTCTCGTCCTGTCGCCTGTGACTTGGGAGCAGAGACCGACCCCCATCTCTCTACACCCTCCTTTCAGGGAGTTGGAGAGAGCAATAAGGTCTCCCCTCAGCCTCCTCTTCTCCAGGCTGAATAACCCCAGCTCCCTCAGCCTCTCCTCATAAGACTTA